GCCCTGCCCAATTTCAGTTCCAGTCCCAGCTGAGCCAACGCAATTCATCGAGTCGCTCGATGCTGCTCCTGCTGCTGCTGCTGCTGCTGCTGCTGGTGGGGAGCAACATCATCATCATCTTTGCGTCCCCCTAAGAATCGTTGAGGGTTGCCAGCTACGGCGGCAGAGTCGATTTTTCTGCATCGTGAACCACATGATGCAAAACTAATTCGAAATTAATGTGTGTGCGCTTTGTCTATGCCCTCTTCGACTGGCGTGCGGGGTACGCAGTGCTTAGGGGTGGGGTAATTTGACGTTAAGGGTGTGAGGGTGGCTTAGCCACACAACCCCTGAGCCACTTGTGCACTTGTCACCCGAAAAGGTGTATTTAGTTGCTCATCGAAATAGCGCTCGAAACTCAAGTCGACGTCTCTCGACTAGGTGGCAACCCTGACTAATCATTAAGCTCTGGCCAAGTTCGATGTGACAGCCCTGACTAATAGTTAAGCTGTTACTAACGTGTAGGAGATGCAATTCTCAAATGATTTGCTAGTCACACATGGGTGGCAACCCTGTCAGCTATAGGTGGCAATCCTATCGTGATGCTAGGCTGTTCAGTTATTGCAATATACCAGAAGTAGAGAGTTATCGATAGAGAGCTCCCTTGATAATGCAAGAGAGTACATTCAAAGAGATATTGGTCAATAATACCATCGATAGTTGTCCATCTCTACGATATACTCTAAGATCTAGAAGATCATTCTTGATATAGTTGGCAACTTTGTTAACTGATGTGTTACTCAGATATACGTAGATAGCTGAGCCTTGGGTAATATGAGAGAGAGAGAGAGAGAGAGAGAGAGAGAGAGAGAGAGAGAGAGAGAGAGAGAGAGAGAGAGAGAGAGAGAGAGAATTTTAGACACACAGTTCACTCTAGCCTCACATCTAAGTTCTACTCGACTCATTCTATAACTCATTCATAATTCTTTCACTTCGAACTTTATTATTCATTGAATTTCGCCTTCTATGTTTATTTTGGCTGTTGAAATATTGTCTGATTTCCATGATTTCTTCTCTCTTTCCCTGTTTATTATTCCTATTTAATATATCTCTATGTCTTACACAATCTGAATTGGAAGACTTTTATCCTTTAACAGTTTCTCTGTTCCATTTTCCTATGTTCTTAGATAAGTAAACCTAGCAGACGTGTTATCATAGCCGTGGAGTTACGTCTGTCTAAAAATATGCAAAGCATTTGTCAAGCATTTTCAGGGGTTGAGCGTAGGCTTTTTGAATGGGCTTAACTGAATGGGACTTGGCATTGAAATCAGCTCAGGGGTTGCGGGTTGCGGGTTGGGGGTTGTGGGTCTATGGGTCTGTGGTCGGGGGATGCTGACAACGCAACGCTCGACTGTTGCAAGATGCGTTGCCAAACATCGCACTTGACTATGCAAACAAGCAAGTGGGCGTTCAATTGGGGGCATGGCTGGCCAACATGCGCCACTGTTTATTTATTTGCCAGTCCTCTGCCCCCACTCCCTCCGCCCATTGGCTGTCTGTTTGTGTGTTTGCTTGGCTGTCAGTCAAACGGATGGGCTCAAGGCTCAAGGATGCTGTCGTTGCCGTCGCTGCACTTGTGCGACTTCCTCGAGAACGCCGCTGGCTGCTGTTTGCGCTGGCCAAACAGAGCCGTTCGCCATGAACGAGCCCCTTCCACACTGGGGGCAAAAGGCGACACACAAAACGCGAAATACAAAAAGCAAAAGAAACGAAACGAAACGAAACGAAAGGAAAAAAAAGTAAAAATTTACTACATATATATTTTCCTAAGCGAAAAATGAGTGTTTGAACTTTTATGGCTGCCGGGCAGGCGCTGCCAGACATCAGGGGGTGGCAATGTGTGGCAGAGGGTTGCTCTCAATGGCATAATTGCTATTGCTACAACAACAATTACAAACAACAGCAGCAACAGCAGCAGCAGCAGCAGCAGTGGCTGTGGCAAACATTGCTGCAAAGGTTTTTGTGGCAATCAAATGAAGTGTTCCTGAATGGTTTTCAAAGTTAATTTGAGTGATGCTTCAGCCAAGTTGTTGTTGCTGTTGTTGTTGCTGTTGCTGTTGTTGTTGCTGTTGCTGGTACTGACAACCCTCCTCGTGCCGCACACACATTGAACTGTAACGTCTCTGCTTCTGCCCCCCTTCCAGCGCCGAGTCGCCTTCAATCGCCCATCGGTCGCGTGTTTATTAACATGTGTTAACAACAACTTAAAGCGCCCATATGGAACGCCATGGCGCGCCATGGACCAGGCTTCCATGCCATATTGGATGGTTCCGCTTGTGGTCCAAGGGTTTCCCTCGCGCTCTCGCTCTCGCTCTCGATTCTATTGTCAACTGGCGACATGTAAGCGATGCTGGTAAACACTTCAAGTTTCCGTTTCGTTTCACTTGCTGTTGTTGTTTTGTTGGTTGGGTGGTTGGGTGGCTGGGTGGTTGGGTGGTTGGGTGGTTTAGCTGGCTGGTTGCTGCTGCGGGTCAATTGAAAGATTATAAAGAAACGCTTGATCTGAAAATACAACTACAAAGCAGTCTTTGAGCTGCCTGAAGGGTGCGCACCTGACGCAACTTAAGCGAACTTCTCAACTTGAGGCTCTCTCGTGGGAAACTTTTTTCGGGGGAGAACAAACAACTACTTGAAGCTGTGATCAGATTGTAAGCTTTGCCTCAAAATATAAGCAGCTTAAGTGCAGCAGGCACTGAGCTACTAGAGCGAGTGCTTCCCTACTAAGATGAGGCAAGGCCTAAGGAGGCTTAGTTGAAGTATGTCATAGATATAGAGCTGCTTGGTCCGCATTCCTCTTTTCATTATCGTGAATATCTGAAAATCTTCTTTTGTAGCCAGAAACTAGAAATTCTTTTCTTCAGGTTTAAGGATCTCTCTATGTCCCTCTCTCTCTTTCTTCCTCGATAAGGATTCCCTTTTTGATATCGGAAGTTCTCTCTACGCTTGAGGATCTCTCTTTGTCCCTCTCTCTTTCTTCCTCGATAAGGATTCCCTTTTTGATATCGGAAGTTCTCTCTACGCTTGAGGATCTCTCTTTGTCCCTCTGCCTCTTTCTTCCTAGCTGAATTCCTTATTTTGATATCGAGAGTTTTCTTCTCCCTTAATGATCTCTCTTCGTCCCCCTCTCTCTTTCCTCCTCACTTACATTTCCTTGTTAAATATGATATTATGAATCTTCATTTCTAGTTTTTTTTTTTTTTTCTGCTTCTACTGAAGCTGTCACTCGTTTCGCCTCTCAGACGGCTTTTGCCTAACGCCTAAGCGGCCATCAGCTCCGACACAGTTCGCAGAGTTTTGGCATTTCCGACTGCGGCATCGCAGCAATTTTGCAATTTTTTCCGCTGTCCGAAACGCTCAACAGTTCTATCGCCTGAGTGCAATTAACCTTCACTCGCTTGCATGTCCGCTGGCCTGCTGTCTGGCTGTCTGGCATATACGCATATTAGCATTTGTATTTGAATCGAAGCGAGTTCTCTTCCTGCTCGTCACATGCGATTTGGCAAGCGATACACAGCTGCATTATGGTCATCATCTGGCTGGGATTTGCATGCTGATGCAAGAGACAGCAGCTCGTAATGCGTTAAGCTTTGGCTGTGGCGATGCCACTGACTTCGGCTCTATGGCTGTATGGCTCTGACCACCCCCCACCCAGCCCGAGTCGGTCCTGCCTCCAGGGTCTCCAGTTGCCAGCTGACTGTCTGACAGGTGGATGACTCGCCTGGGACGTTGAATTAAACAGCGACTGCTGGCTGCAACTGAGGCTAATGACTTCGAGCCGGGCGCCAAATTCAAGGCATATTGCGCGACATGCAGCACAAATCAGAGCCAGATCCAAGTCTCGCCCGTCCGCCTGCTACACCCTTATCGAGTCTGCTCGTGCTGGTGCTTGTGGGCCGCATCTGCTGCGGATTAGATTATGCATAATAAAGTGTAATTTATTTTTCGGCAAGTCTCAAATGCTGCCAACTGGCTGAGAGGCCAACTCGTGCAGGAGAGACAGACTTGCCCAGGGGAGGGCCACCAGCCGCAACCCTTAGTCAGGTGGATGCGCTGTCTGCAAACTGTCCCCAGGGGCGCAGGCCGAGATTTGCTAAAAAGACAAAAATAAAAGGGGGCCAGAGCAGCAGGGGGAGCTGGAGATCTGAGAAGACAATCGAATCGAGCCATTTGAGTGACACGTTTCAACGCTATGCCAACGGCCATGGACGACTCTGTGGCCTCGTGCGGCGCTTATCTAGAGCGTTGCAGGATGACGATGATGTGAACGCGAACGTGAATGTGAACGTGAACGCGAACGTGAATGTGAATGGGAATGTGAATGGGAATGTGAACGACGCGTGTCAGCATTTTATATGGCATACAGCTCAGCGATAAGAGTTACGTACAGACAGACGGACGGGCGGACGGACGGGCGGACGGACGGGCGGACGGGCGTACCAGGCATACCAGAGTCTGGTTCCGTTTGGTAAAGGAGAGGGCCTTAATCAACTTATTTGGGCATCAACGGAGCGGCAAACACCAGAGCGCTAGAGCCACTGCATTTGACACGTGACTCCATGGAACGAGCTAGAACTGGAGCAGGAGCAGGAGCAGAAGCAGGAGCAGGAGCAGGAGTTGGATTTAAGGGCGGGGTACGCTGCGGTGCGGTGTGGTCTCTGGGCTTGGGCTACTTAGTGCATGAAATGGCGACACGTGACCGAAACGAACGTTCGGGGCGTCGTTTTTGGCTTAGCCCAGCACAAATATTATTTATTGCAATTGTATTTTAAGTGGCTCTCGGCCTTCATTGTACAACAATTTGTTGTAGAATACGTTTCCAATTCGTTGTAGAGCTCCTTCCATTTGCATTCTGCTACATATTCATAAATGTGTATATATATATACATATATGTATATGTATATCATCAATAGATGTATAAAGAGGGTAAAGAGAAACTCATAATCTTTCATCTCTCGCACAGATTCATTAATGGGCTCGGCGAGCGAAGACGAAGACGACGATGATCCGCCACATTTGCGTGGACCGGCGCTGGGATTGGGCGTGCTTGGACCGAATGGGCCAGACTCAGCGGGTGGACCGTTGGGCACCTCGGATATATCAGTACAAAGCATGAGCACCGATAGTAAAAATACGCATGACGATTCCGATCAGGTAAGTTCGCTTGATAAACACCGAATGTGTGTGTGGGGAGCTAAGTGTAAACTAACTCTGTCTGCGTGTGTGTGTGTGTGTTGAGTGGAGTAGTGTGTAGTGAAGTGGATTGGCTTGCATCATTAACAGGTTTCCGTTTCGATCCAATACATATGCATGCAGACAAAGTAATGAATGGAATTGAGTGCCATGGAGTGGGAAAGCGGGCCGCACTTTGTAGACCCGACGTCAGCCCCTTTTGATTAATGATTGGCAAATGATTATGAGCAGCTCGCTCCAGACCACATATCTGTATAGACATTTATATACACTCCATATAGACATATATGTATGTATATCGAAATATGTTACTTATTTAACTATCATTTTCGTTGGTGCTTGCAGGGCTCCTTGGACGGTGATCCCGATGGACGCGGCGATTCTCAGGCGGAGAACAAAAGTCCCGACGATGCCAACGGCTCGAAGCGACGCGGACCCCGCACCACCATCAAGGCCAAACAGCTGGAGGTACTGAAAACGGCATTCAATCAGACACCGAAACCGACACGCCATATTAGGGAGCAACTGGCCAAGGAAACGGGACTGCCCATGCGCGTGATACAGGTGAGTTTTCCTTCTCCAACTGCTGGCCTAGGCCCAGCTCAAGCTAGGTGGTTTGCACGAACGCTCAGGCGTAGCCAACAACTGTCAGTTGCAGCATATCTATGTATTCGCTAGATCCAGTATCTAAAACAAAGGACCAATGGGAAGTCAACTCTACAGAGTCCTCAACGAGTTCTAACTACCAGGGGAAGTTCTAGAGGAGGGATCATTGTAGTATTCGAAGCGAGATCAATAAGATATCTTGGGTATATGCAATCTGCATCAGTTTTTGAAAAGAGTTTCTAAGATTTTGCATATGTGGCTAGAGGTAGCCGAATAGGTATTATCTCTCTTAAAAGTGAACTTTGTGTTTCGGCTTACAAGAGATTCAACTTGGCTTTTTATTCAAAATTTCAACGCTTCAATTTTGCGCTTTAACGATTCCGAATTTGTCTTCAGGTACGCTGGGCTGGGGCTCGGCCCGGCTGGCCCCCAGAATGACCAAAAACAAAAACTAAGACAGAGACTTTGGTTTGACGTGGTTAGTTTTGCCGAGTTCCTGTCTGCGTTTCATCAGCATAAAAAACGCATAAATTAAGCGCGTTTCGAGTGGCAAATGTTTAAACTAAAGCAAACTTGCGGCTCCCGAGCCAGTTTTTGTTGTTGTTGTTGTTGCTGTTGCTGACGATGTTGCTGTTGCTGTTGCTGTTGCTGTTGCTGATGTTGTTGTTGTTGTTTTCAACATTTTTTAAAAGCCAAATCATAAAAAATAGTCCGGCGCGATATTTCAACGTCGTGGTTGCCGCCTTGCAACGCTTCATTGCACTGCTCTTTCGCTGTGGTTTTACGAACAACGACAACAACAACAACAACAATAACAACAAACAATGGAAAAAATGTCAGTAAAAACAACAAACCAAATACAATAAAAATAAAATTAATGCCGGCCCCGCAAAAGCGTCTATAGCGTCTATAAGGCGGGGGCGCGCATAAAAACGGAAGTTCATTGCGCTGAACCAACTGCAAAAATAAAAAAAATAAAAAATAAATAAATAAAAATGAAAATAAAAACACAAGAAAGAGCCTTAAAAGCAACTAGTGTCCATACAAATATACATCCATATATATATATATATCAAATCTTCGAATGTGTGTGAAATGTTTGCTGAGAAATTCTTCAGTCTCAAAAAGCTGCATCGCAACGCCCACCGAAATAAAAGGGCTGTCCTAAAGGCATTAAAAGAGTAGAGGAAGAGAGTGAGAGAGAGAGAGAGAGAGGGAGCGGAGGGTAAAGGTAAAACGGCCAGAGCGAATAGCGAAAAGAGAGAGAGAAACGTTTAAAAACCTTAACGAGCTTGTTGCTGCCTGCCATGAGAAGCGCCGAGAACGGCGCGCGACGTCTAACAGCCATGTAAAATGCAAATGTTAGCTAACATGCGATGCAATTGTGGCCAATTACGGCCCAGTTGGAGAGTCTACGTGAAAATGCTGACACGGAAATGTGGAAATAGAGGCAATATGCCAGGCCATGATTAGCCAGCCGCCGCGGCAGATGAGCCATTGCCATATGACGGCTTAGCCGCAGTCGACTTCATTAATTGCAAGCGAGCATGTTGAGATGTCGCGTGTGTCGTGTCTCGAGGCTAACAAAACGCCCAGCAGCATAAGAGCTATAAACATGGAGCATTACTAAAGTTTATAGCAATGCTAGCTGAGGAGAGTGGCAACAGCTTGAATAGATTCTCCCACAATGTGATCAGAGTTGGTAGAGCAATGCATTGACAGGCATTGCCAGACCGATGACAGGATATTATGGGCTTGCAATTGATATCCCTGGGCTGGCTGTCCGTCGGACTGACTCGCATCTGTTGAGCTGTCAGGGATATCCGCAGCATATGCAGGCCCACATTAAACACAACAACATCATTAGCGCTGTGGCAGCGCATTGATATGCACCTTGTTCTCGATTTTCAACAGGTTTGACTTACAAATTCTCAATGCCACGCCCCCAAATGCACACGCACAGCTAGAGCCTCTACACAGATGTTGAATGTGCTCAGCTCTCGTTGCGTTTCCCACAAGAAAAACGATGGAAAATGAAACATTTAACGGGGATTACGCATGCGCAACCGTTGTAGGGGCACAGACACAGACACAGGCAGCGGTCGGGGTAGTGGTAGGGGTAGTGGTAGGGGTAGGGGTAGGGGTCGAGAGACAGAGGTAGAGGCAAGGGCTGTGCCGCCTTTGATGTGTCATTGGTTACAGTTAAAGGATATTTAGGCGGCGTGTCGCGTCTTTTTTAGTTGAGTCTTTAAACGCGACAAGTGTGACGCAATCAACACCTCTTTATGGGCAACAGTTGTTGTTGTTGTTGCTGCTGCTGCTGTTGCTGTTGCTGTTGCCCTCTTCAAATCTAAACGAAAGTGACAAATGCCAACAAGTTGAAGAGGAGGCGACGCCTGCTGACGATGTCGCTGACGTTGACTTAATCGCCTTGCTTCGAGCAGCTTACAGAGACACATGCATACACACACACACGCACACACACAGCTGTGCGCTGTCAACTTTTGCATCTTCATTAATGTTGCATTTTTGTTGTTTTTGATTTGTTTGTTTTTTTTTTTTTTTTTCAATTTTATTTAATTCTTATTTTGATTTTTGTTTTGGTTTTTTTCTTTCACTCTTTTACTTTTTGCGCGGCTTTAAAAACTTTGCGAGTGACAAGCAGCTGACAGCTGAATCACTTGTTGTTGCTGTAGTCTGTTTGTCCGCTTGTCCGCTCGTCTCTTGTCTCTTGTCTGTTGTCTCTTGTCTGTTACTGCAATCAACAATATCCAATAACAAGTTGTCAGTCAGCTGCAACTACCAGGAAAATGCATGCGGTGCGCCCAAAATGTGCGGCCATCTGCCCTCAGCGGCTTCAGCGCCGCTGCAGATGGACAGAGAGGGGGCTAGAAATGTTTGATGTTCGTTTGGTAATTCGATCTGTGCCTGGTGGCATCAAAGAGTTGCCACAGTTGCCACAGAACGTGGAGCAATTTGTTGTCCGCATTTGCTTTTGGCTTTGCTGCAACATCTAACGAAAATGTCAACGCCAAGCAGTTGAGCTGTAGCCGATTTCTGGGCCAGCAGTGCGTTCGGCTGTTGCCCAGCATGCGCCACATCTTATAATAAATTTTACAACAACAACAACATCAACAAGAACAACATGCCACAGCATCAGACACAGACAGAAGCAGCGTGACACAAAAACTTGCTTAGAACTTTGCCGACAGCGCACAGCGGGGCAGCCCTGACACGCCCCCCACTTGACAAAGGGGGGGGGATGGCCGAGGCCCAAGGGGTTGGGAGAGAAATTTTGCATAAATTTGAGGCGCTGCTGCGATTGGCAGGCATAACTCGTTGACATGACAGGTGAGCGGCTGCTGCTGCTGCTGCTGAAGATGCCCAAAGGGGTGAAAGAGAGAGAGAGAGTGGCATACACGGTGTATGAGAGTGAGAGAGGCCAACTTAGCCACTGGCCACTTAAGTGGCCAAGCCAAGACAACCAGCAGCAACCACAAAAGCCGCACCACACATAAATCATTGGCATGTTTTGAGCATTATAGCCAAATAGCTATCACAACATCATCAACAAACAAAAAAAGGTAAAACAAAACCAGAAAAAAAATCGAAATAAAAACAATAATAATAATAGGCAAAAGTTTTTGATTTGATTTTATAGGCTCACAAATTTGTTGGCCAACTCCCAATGGCCCAAGTCAATTTGTATGTAGCTCGGCTCAAATGCTACTTGACTACTGCTCGTCGAGCATTCGCAGCATTCGCAGCATTCGCCGGCTGCGTGCGACTTTTGCTGTTAACGACAAGTTGATGCCGATCAAGGCGGCCGATTGCGGCGCCATCAAAGTGTGACAATAGGCCTAGGCCAGGCCTGATGTGCCAAAGCCAGCCAAGGCCGAGTGTCGACATTGGCTGCGCCTTGATGGCGGCTCGAGACTAACATGAAATACAAATCCAGCTTTAGCAATCATTGAGCTGATATCAATTTGAAAATAGAGCAATGGCTTGAATAGTTCAAATGCCTATTGCAAATAAAATAATACTGAAAATAATATATAATTATACAGTCGAGTTCCGATAGTTCGATATGGCAAGGGCATAAGTTTTTTTCTTACGATTTACATAAAAATTTAAATTATCGAGAATTATCGATAGTAATTTTTTATTTTTATTTTATTTTTTTTTTCAATTTTATAATATTTTTCCGATTTATCGCGATTCTAATTTAACGGGCTACAAATTATCGAGACTCGACTGTATATAGTATATATTATCATTTTATGAATAGCTCAGCCATCGCGCTTTCCCTTAATATTGCATATTTTCCATATCTCTCGAGCTCTAAAATTTGTTTTCCTTAAAACTCAGTTTTATTTCTCAACAAAATAAAATAAAAATAAAATAAATTTAGATTTTGTTTACCTTTGGAACGTTTTATTTCAATTTTTGAAAAAGGCATCTAAGACAGTTTTCATAGAACTTTTCTGAGGATTAGGATCGAGTATTTAAACTAAGTATTATTGAATTTTTTTTCATGATTACTTTATACACCTAATGCTCACTATTTTTATTTAGTATTCAAATCAGCTTCCATTAAATTTCTTTTAATATTATGTACATGATTATTTCATACATCTATTTCTGTGTACTTTTGTTTAGAGAGGGAAAAATCTCATCTATTATTTTTATTATTTTTTTTTTTATAAAGAAAGTTTTGCTCAATAATCTTTTTGCTGATAATCTATCTATCGAAGCATTCAATCAACTCTCAGCCTTGCCACAGTATTCAATTTGAAAAGCTTGTTCACACTCGATTTGTCAACAATAAAATGTAAATAAATGAAATGCCCAGATCTTCAATCTGTTATAATAAAATCCGAAAATAAAACCAAGCCGTGGACATGGCCGCAACTTCCGGCAAGCCGAAGGCGATCCAAACTGTCACGACTCGAGCTTGG